AATTACGCAACACGCGCCGTAATTATAGTACAGATATTAGAATCATAAGGCGGTTGACGACAAAAGTCGAGTATGTCTCCCGACGAAATTGAAACTAATAAGGCAAAGAGCGGCGCTGGATCTAGCCGGTACGCACTGGAAAACGACGGAACTCGGACGGCTCGCGTTAGCTTCGAAGAAGCCACAATAATCGCGTGACAGAGAATAGTTGAAAAGTACACTTGAAAAAGGAATGCGTTACGCAAACGGAAAGTTTATTGGATTGATCCGCGATCTTATCGATTTCAATTTTAACAAAAGAATATATTTGTAAGTTTGTGACATTTGACTTTCAATGATTGTAATATCAACTACCGGGGTGTGGCTTAATCTCGTATTGTACACCTACTCGATGATCTTGCAAATTTTTCGTGATTATTGTAGATCAGATATGTCGAGAGAATAGTACAATCACAGCTTACAATGCATCATAATGTAAAAATATCTAAGACGTGTTTAAAACTCCTACACTCATTGTGGAAACGAATACGAAAGAGAGATGTTACAAAATCAGTTATCAAATCATGGCGAGATATATACTTTTTCTGCAGATATTAAATGAAAATCAAATTCCTTCAGCTTCATTTGCGTTTCTTAAAGAAGAAAGATGTGTAGATATTACGCTTCAAGCGAGAGCTTCCAATCGCGCCAATCAGCTTACCAATGCTAAAACATCACGGAGCCATCAATAATTGATTTAATATCCGCTACGCAACTCGTGCAATATATTGATAAATCGCCAGTCGAATTTCAGTCAATCGAATTCCAGCGTGCGGGGGGTCCCGAGGGGGGGGAGTGTGCCCTAACGGTAGCGTGGAGGACGGCAATGGGACTCGGGGACCCCACCACTGGAAAGATTGGTCAATTTATGGTGGTGCTCGGTCAACGAGGCGCCACAGCATTTAGTGGTTAACGCGTGCAACGTGAGAGAGAGGGAGAGAGAAAATGAGACGAGGAGACCATGCGAGGAGGAAACCAGAGACGCCACTCAACAGCATTATTCGAACTGATGCGGTGAATTGGCGCTGACGACATCGCACAGAGCCAATCCGACAGTTTGTTTATTGGCCGCGCGTTGGCGGATTCCTCGCGGTCTCTTTAATTGAAACCTCGTCGATCGAGGCTGATACGGGTACGCGGCGGATCGCGCTCGGATTTCGTTGATCAGCATCATTGCGACGTAGAGAGAAAGAGAGAGAGAGAGAGAGAGAGGGAGAAAACTTGTTGATTATTTTAACGTTTAGCTTTCAAGAAAGACATTGAGAGCTAAAAGAATTTATTAGACAATTATTACGTGTAATTTTCAAATTTTATAATTCACAAACCGATTCTACCCTCCTTGTGTCCCCCACAATCGTTAACAAAATAAAAATAAGCTAGCAAAATTTAGTATAATTTTGCTGTTTTGTGTGTGTATGAGAGAAAGAATAAATACTATTTAATATGTATAATAGTAGAAATCTAAATAATTCTCGCTATAATTGCAAGATTACTTTTTTCAGTGTGAAAAACAACAGGCTCAATTAATTCTTTTATACACTTTTGACAATTCTTTTGCTACATGTATATGTTTTATTATAAATATTTATACGTAATTTTATCTTGCACAATAATTAATTTACATTTCGTAGGATAAAAAATGTTAATTATCTGAAACAACAACTAATTGTAGAGTTGTAAACATTTAACTACGCACAAGATTCCATCAAAGTTTCAAAAATCGAATCTGATACACTGCAACTCAGACCTACATTGATAATTGTCCAGCGGTAATGCAGTTAGATTAACATTCCGTTTCTTTACTCAAATGTGGATAAAAAAAAGACATGCATTACTTTGCGAGTCTTCATATGGAGCAGCCCTCTCGTAAAAAAAGATTATAATTATGCAATTTTATAGCGTAGCGGTCGTCCGAAGCTGCACTTAACGATCGCTCGTGCCCCGTTAAAATGTTTATCGCGTTAGGAATTAAACGTCGATTGTCGATGCGAGTGTCCTCGATGTAACGTATAGAGACGCAACGTGAATGGAAAACAACCTGTCGGCAACGAGAACTAATAACGAGTATAATAACAGCAAAATTAATTTTCGCGCATATAGATTATTATCCTTAGTATATCCGCGGCGCGAATGTGTTGCTCCTTGGGAAATATAGGCTGCAGTGGTCCGTTAAGATCTCGTAAGAGATCTCGGGTTCCCTCGAGCGTTCGGCAATGAAATGCAAACAAGTATGTCGCAAGTATAAACGGCAAAATGAACGACTGCATTTAGATACAACACACGTTATACTGCAGATGAGCATATTTATTGAACAAATCGTTATTTATCGATCGAACTATTCAAATATTATCTTGTAATAATAAATACGAGTTATGTCAATTCATTAAATATAGCAAAGAGAAAATTTCTGTTTTGAATTGTAGAGAATGGGAGAAAATATGCTCCTCAAACATTGCTACAATCTTTTGAATTATATAAATCGTTTTCAGCCTATTTAATGATGTCAATCAATGAATTAATGACAGCTTATTTACAATTCATTAGCAATTAATTTTTCCTGCTAAAATGGTAACCGCTATATAGTAAATAATTATGTAAAATAAATATAATTAAGAAATTCAATTATACATCCGTATAAGCATGAATCGCAGAAATCGATAAGACTCACAGTGGACATTCATTGGAATATTTGCTGCGCTTATCTGCTCCAATAATTGGCAAATTTTGCGGTTTCGGATAATTTCGTTCGTGCCCGCGCGCGGTTTCGACGTCGTCACTGCGTAGAAAACGTTTCACGGAAATGCAAATGCGAACCGCGTTATTTCCCTGCGTACGCGTTACTGCGTAATGGCCCATTATGCACACGTGGGCTCCACCACAAAGAAATCTGACGTCTGCAGCGCGTTTATGCACGCGCCGCGTGCGAGAATCACGCGTAACGAAGAGCGACGAGGTCCGTCCCGTTCGAGAGTTTCGCAAAAAGAATCGCCGACCCTCGGCGCAGTCACTTTTCGATTGTCGACTATCCCTGTCGATTTATGTGGGCAGCAACCCTGATTTCTCACATGCACACTCGTTTCCCGATAGAACGATTCGTTCCGCTCCATCACGGAACTCTCGTTTTATGAAAATGTGAAGCTTGCCTTTAGCATGTGATGAGTAACGTACGAAGATGAGTACGCTCAATGTGTTAATGACCGATCAAAGTAATTTATGACTCTGTTTAGAAGAAACAGTCTGTACAAAAAGAAATATTGAAATACCGTGAAAAATATAATTCTGTGTATGTCTGTATTATACACTGAAAGCATAAAGTGAGCTTCTTCGTGAGAAATGGAGAATATAAAAAATTTAACGAGGGAGAAGATAACAGGATACAGTTAATATTAAATTTATAACATATTTCTTAATAGTGAAAATATTTAATTAAATATCATATGGCTAAAAAATATCAATTCTCTGTTAAACATAACTATTTCCACGAATGAAAAATATCTACGTCCACATACAAACAAGTTCAGCTAACTTATTTTATTTAAATAAAAACGATTATCAAATTTCTATCTAACTAAAATGAAGATAATACTGCTATTCTCGTAATCGTGCTATTCTGCACACCCGATATACTTAGACAAATCACCGTTTCTCTCTTTCCTTGTATGAACAAAAGACTGCATTTTCCGGAAAACAATGGCGCGGGTAAGCCGAAGTGTGCAGATGGCCCACATGATTAGTCTGACATTTGCACCGGCGGTGTCTCCGGTTGGCACGTGCATTCCAACGTGAATCTCACTCTCGTCTGCCCGTGCAGGAATTGCAGTCTTCATTGCAACCTGACGAGGGCTTTAACCCTCGCGTTGGAATGACGAGTCACCTGTAGCACCATCCGATCTTGACAACGGCGATCCAAGTCATTTCTTCTTATTTGCATAGTGAATTAATTGAGAGTAATTGTAATCTATTAAGCGATGAATTCATCAATTGTCTTGGATCACATTTTTTTGGACTAGATTAATCAATAATCATTTGCGCTATAGATATAGTAGAAGAATCGACCCTGCAGAACTTTGTAAAATTAAGCAGCCGATCTTAGCATAATTTCGACATTGCGGATTAAAAAAAAAATTACTACCGGATGTGCATTATGAAACTATTTTTGCAAGCTCAATTTTCAAGGTCTACCAAGTCGATTGTTCGCTCGTCGTTATAATAGGCTGCGTGTAATTACTAATTTTCTCTTTTGCCTTCCCTCTCGCCTTCTAGTCGCGATCGCTCGTCTGTCCGCGCGCGCGAGTAAAGAGTTTTCTCCGGCTCGCTAATCATGCCTCGGCTAATGGACAACAACGATAATTAGCCCGATAATAAAGCGTATAGGTGCTTCCTTTGCGCACGTAAATTAAACGGCAACAGTTATCGCCTTCCGCGCGTATCGAGAGACACGCTTCGACTAGCGAGAAGAACGTTCGGAGCGGAAAAACTGAGATTTTCTACCGTCGGCTGCCGTTCTATTCGAACACGGGATTAGGGTCAAGGCGCGAAGGAACAAACTTCTTATAACATATATTTACATATATTTTAATATTAGTTATATGAAATAATTGTATTTCGTAACTATGAGTTACAAATTTTTTTTTCACTGCAGAATCGATTTAGCCGTAGGTACTGCTCGATACTTTGCGTAAAAGATTAACGTCTGCTTCCTGCCAGCTATCTAATTATGACGCTATTTAGTAATAATAATGCGTAGAAATAATAAGAGAAACATACAGGAAACACGTTCCAAAGCACAACAATAATATGAAGATATATAATCATATAATCTTATTATTAGTGAGAATATTTAGCTTATCGCAGAAGTTGTACCCTTGCATTGAAATAAATTAAAAATTATCCGCAGAAGCGGATCCAGAAATAATCTTCACGCCTTGTCTAAACGTTCTTTCCTCTGTTTTCTGTTACAGACGCCTGCGGTCTGTCGGACGTGGCGCATATCGAATCCCTTCAGGAAAAATCGCAGTGCGCCCTGGAGGAGTACTGTCGGACCCAGTACCCGAATCAGCCGACGAGGTTCGGCAAGCTGCTGCTGCGACTGCCGTCGTTGCGCACGGTCTCGTCGCAGGTGATCGAGCAGCTATTCTTCGTGCGGCTGGTAGGCAAGACGCCGATCGAGACGCTCATCAGGGACATGCTGCTGAGCGGCAACAGCTTCAACTGGCCCTACATATCCACGATGTGACACTCTGTCTGGCGGCAGCTAGCTTCCGCATAATATTACACCTCGAACACCAGCGGTGTCGCGGCGCCCGACGACGAGCCGCGAGCCCGATTCGCGTACGAGTAGATAAAGAATCGAGCGTGGGCGAGGGTGGGCGACGCCGCGCGAGTCCCGAATATGCTCGATAACGGGGAAGGGGAGAAGGGGACGGAGAACGGCGGACGATAGGGCGCGATTCCGGCCTCGTTCGTCGCGAGATCTCGAGGTCGAAGGTCGATGCGTCGTTATTGCCAACGTCGTCATTAACCCGGTTACGTATCCGCGTTACTCTTAGCGATATGATGCGACAATATTCCTTGTCATTGATACTTGTACTCGCGTTTTGCTAGACCGATACGCGGTACTCACGACGAATCAAAATGTCAGTCGGGACTTAAGGAACTTTTTTTGTATCCTGAGTAGACGCGACTCGACGTCAGAAAGAGAAGGCGAAGAATGGAGGAGGAAGGGTTAAACAGCGAGAGACTGGAGGAGAATTAAGCGAGATCATTATACGAAGTTCGACCGAGGGTGATAGGATAATGCGCGCGAAGTGGCATGGAGAAAGATGGGCGTGCGTTGAGAAGGGGTCGTCTTGTTCGTCGGAAGAGAGGAATTTTCGGTGACGTGCAGGGAAAGATGAGAGAGAGAGAGAGAGAGAGAGAAAGAGAAGGCAAGGAGAAAAATACGTAATAAAGACGTTGCTCATTAAGAAAATCGCGGAGGCGCCGAGTGGCCCGACAACGTCTAAGAGAACATCTACTGGGCGTTAAAACATGGTACTCACTAAAGTGGTCGAGCGAAAGAGAGAAAGGGATTTGTGCGTGCAAGGAGCTTGTCAGTTGTTCCGTGCATGTGTGTGCATGAGTGAAAGAATGAGAGAAAGCGCGAATGAACAAAAATGAGAGAGAGAGAGAGAGAGATTGAAAGAGTTATAAGGGTTTGGGGGAAGGGGGGATAGATAGATAGATAAGCGTTTTGTTATATGGCAAAGAATAAAATAAGAAGAGGGTGGAAGGAAGAGGGAAGAGCGTGGCGTGAAGAAGTCATAAATTAGCATTTATAATCAACGATGAGGGGGAGAGAGAGAGAGAGAGAGAGAGAGAGAGAGAGAGAGAGAGAGAGCTGGTGGATCTCCCATTGCTATCTCGAATCAATCTTCGCGTCGAGTACTCGCTATTAGTCGAGTCATGCCATGGGCCTTAGTCATTCGTCTTGACGCCTCCTCTACGAGGCTCTACGTTCTCCAAGTTCATAGCCCGTGAAACATTCTTTCGGAAATATCCCTTTCGGTCGGACGACGCTCGCGCGCTTGCAACGCAAATCGCAGATCTAAATCCCACGGCGACGCTTTCGTCGAAGTCGTCCGTGATCTTCGAGGATTGTCGACGGTAAGTCATGATTTCATCTCGATTATTTTCACGTAGCCGTATGCGATCAAGTATCATGCTCTTCGATTACGGCGTAAGACCTTTTCGAAACCTCAGAAGCGACTTTAGCCTTTGTCTCGTAATAAAATATTTTCGTAAATTATTTGTGTAAATTGTTTTCGAATTAGTATAAAACTGTACGCTACGCTGAATCGAAAATTCTTATTCTTCTTCGCGAAAAATACTTTTCCTAAAATTATTAAATCTCTGCATAATCTTAATTAATACTTTACACAATAAATCGAAGCATGATCATCTATCTGAAATTTATATTTAATATTAAGAAAGATCATTATTAATAAATTAGCGAGATTCTCTTTTTTTTTAATAACACGCCCTAATTACTACATGTGAAGATAATTTTGAACGAATTTCAATAATTTGCGTTATATATTTTCTTCTCCATTTCTCTTCCGTTTGCGATTTCCTTAGCTCTATGTATTTGATCATTTTCGTTGTTACATTAAGTCGTTTATTATACTTTCTCGAAGTCGCTCGAACGTCTCGTCAAATTCGCTTTATATTTTGTTTTATTTTTAAAAACGTTATCTGTAAAGGCTGCAGTAACATGACGTTATCGAAAAAAAAAGTTCGTCTATTTAAAGATAAATATATTGTACAAATTTTTATGTATAGTACTTAGATAGAAGCTAAGAGCGTCGGGCATCATCGGCACTGGTAATTTAACGCGAGTCTTTACTAAATATAAAATGAAATTGTTTGTTGCAAGTAAGATGTAAGATGCAAAGCGCGTTGCATTTTACGGCGTGAAATCACGAAGGAAACTTATGGAGATCGCGCGAGATAAATCAGTCTCTTTCGCGTTCGCGCGGTGGTATTTGTAACAGCGGCGTTTTTCGGCGAATAGCGATCGCGTTTTACTTGTATAATACTGTCGCACTAGAATTACGGCGGCGAAGAACTAGAAATTACTTCGATATGTCTCTCATCTCGACGCGACGACGATCGTCCTCGAGGAGAGCCTTGAGGAAGGAAAGCAGCGAGCGACGACGAAAGCCCACACGTGACGTTCAACTTCGATGACAATACCGCGCGATATCATATATATACAGCCAATATTATGTATCTTGTAAATACGATATTTTTACCTTGGGTTACTTAAGAGCGTACGTGACGAGACCACTCGAGAGTGCGATGCAACGAGTTCTTCTTTGTATGCCAGTGCCATTGCGCGTCACATCATCGCGTCACGATTAATTCCGCGGCAATCACGGGATCGGTCGATCGATCGATCGATAGAATACTCGGGATGATAATTCCGAGACGAGACGTCCGGAGGAATCATGCTGCGGTAAGGTAAGTCGTTATCTTGTTGCACTGACAAGGGAACCTCAAGAAGCCGAAAATACGGATAATTTATAAAATGAAATTTTACATACATGTAGATGAAATAAATAAATGAATTTAAAAATTTTCAGTGTAAAGTAGCTGTAAAGGATGAAATCATCCCTCATATATACGCAAAGCGCTCTAACTAACTTTCGAGATATTAAAAAACAAGAAAATTTAAGATTTGTGCTACATGATATACTCACCCCTAAAAAATTTACAATGGAGATTTTATCATTGTTTAGCTCCAATTAAAGATTTATAAATTTATTTATTCCATATACGTAAAGTATTATTAAAATTATAATTTCCTAATTCGTGAGATTCCCTTGTGAGATGCTTAAATAAAGCGAATTTGCGAACTTCCGATTGTGGATGGAATGCGCCAAATTTTTGTTGTTATTTCTCGCAATAACACTCTTCATGTTATTAAACATCGTTTCTGATTATCAATATGACTAGAAATCTCGACGGGATAATCCCGATGATCTGTTCAATATCCCGGTGATTATATAAAAAAAGCGATAATTTACGCGACTCGTTACATCCCGATATATAAAATGCACTATTAAATACAAATATGTTTGGAAGTGTACAATGGAAATGTAATGATGTTTACGAATAACGATTTGGATAAAATCTTGATAATAAATTATTAAAAATGTTAAATGCATTAATTTTAATTCTTTATCATTTATTTCATTAAATTATATATTTTATTAGTTATTTTATAATAAATTTTTTACAGAGTTTTCTTTATATTTCCATACTTTTTTGATAAATCCATAGTTTGCGAATTTTAAATAGGAAATTTTAAGTTTAAAGCAAAATTAATAAAATATAACGTATCAAACATATTTTTAAATTCTTTCAAAGATATCTTACGAATTTTATTATTCTATTTTAAGCTCGATAATAAGTAGGAAATAAAGAAGTGATTCCGGATTTTTTACTTGAGAAATATCTCAATGGGATCTCTTTGGGATGTAACGGGTCAAAATTGAGATAACAACGCTACGAGATATATCGAGATATATTTTTGATTGAAACATGAAGAATATTCGATATTGCTCGTCGCTGGGTCTCCGATAGATAAAGATAGAATAATTGTGAATTGAACGATGCGTCAAATTAAAACAGTGCTGCGAGACAGTGTGTGCGTGTTTATTTCAATGTGTATTCACATGTATGTACGCGCGTGTGCGGGTGTATGTGTTTTACATGTATGGAAAAATTAAGGGAGAAAAAGATAGCGAGCACGAGATAGACAAGCGAGAGAGAAAGAGAAAGAGATAAAGAATGTACGAGGTCGCAAAATAATGTGATAATACGTATGTCAAAATTTGAAATCCGATTTTTCGAAACGGTGCTTTTTCTATTTTATAAATATTGTACAATATATTGTATACACAACAATAGCACAACGGACTCGGCGCGTTGTATAGGATTGTTTAATGATATTAAGAGGAGATATCTGAATACTACGTTATAGTAAATGTGGCAATGTCGAGCTAGTTACTTAGTGGAGCACTTTTTTTAGGGGTATATGGGATAATTTCTAATATGTTTAAGCAGCGGTTGTTCCTTAAAGGAAATTCTGCGATTGGGTTTCCTCGAGCGGGATCTAACTGATGATTACTGTAACTGGATTGCTCGCGGATATGAGTCCCACATTTCTGAAAAATTAGTGCGCAATTTTTGAAAATTTTCACAAAATAGATATCATCGTCGTGAATGTTTTTTTTTCTCTTCTTTCTCAAATTTTACCATCAAACTTTTAGATACACGTAATTAAATGCAATTTTATCCTTTTTTCCTTTAATTTAATTTAAAAAATTCAAAAACATTTTTGGTTAAATTATATTTATAAATGACATGCTATTTCTAAAAATAAAAGGCTTGTTGTATACGAGGTAAGGAAGCATCGACTCGGAAAAGGACGATCACTACCATACATCGAGTACTTAAACGCTTACGAGTGATACTATAATTTCTGTACACTCTACGTTCGCCTTTTTCACCTTCGCTCACTTTGCAGCTTCAGAAAATGTTAGTGATTGCTAGAATATAGAAGAAATTAATGACGATCGGATAAATCAACTGTTGGATGGAATAGTGTTATAAATAATTTCTCTTGTTGCGTCAGAAATGCAAGAAAACTGTGGAAGTACCTAAAATTTGGAAGTACCTAATAATATAATTATTTTGTTAAAGAAGACTATTATGTTTCTATATATAAAGATAAAATATAAAACTATGCTGCTGGCTCTAAAGCAACTATTAAAAATTGTAAAGAAAATTGACGAAAATGTTATTTAATATAGAATTTATTTTATATAGTAAATTGTAATATAGTGTTTTATGTTTCTGCACAAAGAGCTTAATATATTTTGTGTTGATTTTAATATTTATTTGAAAAAGTAGTACACGGACTTTGATTTTTAATGATTCTTGCTATTCCATTCAAGAATTGAAACATTAAGATGTAACGAATCCTTGTCGATACATTCTCACGGCGTTCCCATCACACGTGGATCCCTCTCGAGGTGCTCGCACGATGATACGGTTGCTCACGAAACTCAAAAATGTATTATATCGATAAACGAACGCGTGTGTAGGTACGTCAGGGCGCGAGAGAGTGACGTTCTTATACATAGTTATGTATAAAGTCGTGAAAACTTTTGTATAAAAGACGTGTAAATAATTAATATATATAAATATAAATAAAGAATATAAATATGAATGCATATAAATATATAAATATGAAAATATATGAACATATATATAAATGAATTGCAAAGAAAATTATAAATATATATAAATAAATATATATATATATAAAATGGATATATATATATATATATTGTATCGTAGCGTCGCGTAGAAACATCGCTACGACGAATAATAAAAGCATTATTGATGATGATGTAACCAGTTTCGAGACGCATAACGGCGGTATGTACGGAGTTGTAGATGTAATGCGACTGGTCTTTTTTGCAGATGTTATAATAAGAAAATATCACGTTACAAAGTATAACCGGTGTACTGATTATTCTAACCTTTGCGCGTAGTATTTTTTTTTTTATGTGGAAGAAAGTCGCAAAAAACTTCGATTCTGCTATTTGCGAATTATAGAGAATGTTATACTGATCAGAATGCACAAACGTAAGTATTAAAATATAACAATGCGCCACGGATAATAATTTTAATCAATTATTACAAAAAAAAACATAATATTTCTCTTTTTCATTGATGGAACAAAATCCGTAAAAAAATTTAAATGTAATTGCCTTGCAGTAAAATATGAATTTATATTGAGCTGATTTGTATCAAGAAAAATAATCCGTACATTTTGAATTTAAGATTCGTCAAAGCATTATCTTTATTTCATTTACTTAATTAATCTGTAGATTGCTGATTATTTTCAAAATTATTTTTAATATCATGCAAATTTCCTTCTTTTTTGTCGATGCAAGATAGAAATTTAAATTTAAAAATAAAATTCCGAAGAAAAGAAGGGAAAAAATGGGAGGAGGATCGCGACACGGAAAGCAGAGAGAAGCGGCGGAGAAAAAGGCAGCGGAGAAGAAAAAGGGGCGAGAAACGCGGAGTGTTTTAGCCGGCGAGAGGCCGCGGGGTCGCGATCACAGACAGAGGCATCGCCGTCACGTCGTCGGCCAGAAATCACTCGCCCGCGGGCCCACGGGGAAAATTCGCTCGCCAATTGTTTATATTGAAATACGCTCGTGCAGGAATGCATCCCGGACGAGTGCGCCGATGTATAAGCTCGCGCGCGCGTTCCTCTTTCGTGGAACGAACGTGGCGAGGAGGGAATGGGAGGATACGGGATACGTACCGTCGAGGCATTCGAAAAAGAAGCCGAGGGCGTATCCAAGCCGTATGGCGCGGCTTCCTTTTCCGCTCGCGAGGTCCACTCTCGCCGTCTCGTCCTCGCGCGATACGCGCCGATGAAAGCGGTTCCTATTTCGGGACTGAATTCTCGCACGACTTTTTGAACGTCTGCGGTATCGCTTTCCAAGCGCATGGGAGAGTCTACATTTTATCGTAAAATTCTCGGTTAGGAGTAACGTTGACGGGATAGAACAAAATAAGATAAATTGCATTTAATTAAATGCGAACCATAGATTTTTCGAAATCCATGAAAATGATATTTTAATGACAATTTTTATGCAATGATGGAGAATAAAATATATATATTTAATATTAACGTCTAGATTAATTTTCATTTCTAAAAATAAACCGGATAGCTTTTGGAAGTACAATCAGAAATCGCCGACAGGGAAACATATGTCTTTCTCACATTCGTGACACATGGGGATGAATAACGAATGACGTCAAGTACTACATATTTACATGGCAGTGTTCGCGCGCCTCGAGGATCGACGACAAATCAAGGCGGATCGAGCTACTGTGGACGATCCCGTCGATTCTGAAACGTTGTTGCCACGTGGATACTCCACGAGCTACGAAAGCGCATACATAAATTCCAAATAAATCACGGAGCAGAGACGGCTCGGGCTCTCGCCGGAGCGCATGCACGGAAAGACAAAAACGGTGGGTCGGCTTGATCTTAAAAAGGAGCATCGCGCGGTAATCTTGCAGCGATGTGCTGCGCCGAATACTTAGAATTTCGATAAATTTGACTAAAGTAGATAAGATCGGCTATAATCGGGACGACGACATTTCCAATGTAAACTAAAATTCAGAGTCCTATTTTTTCTATTTGAAAAAAAAAAATAAGTAAAAAGGTAGGCTTTTCTTGTACAAAAAAATTACTTTGTTGTCTCGTAATAAAATTCTTTTTAAAATAAAGATAATAGAAATATTGACAAGGCGTAAATAATTGATTATTAAATTATGAAATAATTAAAATAAATTTTTTATTAATATCTAATAAAAAAATCTAATTAATTGAGGTTAGTTCAAGATCCTTATACGTGTGTATACAATAATTTACTATCGCTTAAAAATACTGCCTATAATATTGTATTTATTTCTGAATAAATACAAATGATCAGTATTCATTATTTCTCTGCTTCGGGCTTCCGAAGTTAATTAAAAGTAAAAGAAGTTAAAAGATAAGAGTGGACGTTCGAGAATGCGTTGCTGATTTGGCGCGTTTCCAGAAGGCACGCTTCTCTGAGACCCGTAAACAAAGCACTCTTGACAGGCACATGGTACTTTCCATGCTGGGGGCATCTTGGATCGAAATTAATCGTTCCGCTCTCTAGACGCAAGACGTATCCGCGACGCCACGCCGTTTGCGAGTGAATTATTGCGGGACGCGCGCGTCCTTTCTACGTAGAAATTCTAAAGACACCATCAAATCATTGCTGATAATATGTCGGAGATACAATTGAATTTAATTCCAACGATACGAAATTCTTACACTTATATAATTAGAAGAAAGAATAAAATACCTACTTCATGTATTTATAAGGAAAGGTAATGAGTTTCCTAAAAACATAATGCACTAAATAAATTTTGTAAGACGCAGATATAAGAGTTTTTTTCTGTACACGATATAAAAATGTGTTTACATATAAAATTATTATAGTAATATACTCTCTTTTCCTGCCTTTTTGTCTTTGCACCAAAATGTTTGTGTCAAAATTATAGTTTCTAGTATTCTTTTTGCTAAGCATCCAAAAGGAAAAGTGCTCTCGATTGTCTCGTTTTATTTAAACAAGAAAACGTTGCATCTGCGAGGCCCCGATTTCGCTAATCGTACGATTATAACGAGCGGCGACTAATCGCGGAAATGCGGAGGATCCGCTCTGATTAGGCACGCGCGGATTTTTAATACCCGATACTCTCATAGCCAATGATTTGTGTGCCACGTCGAACAGAACGCTTCATTCAGAATCCGTTCCCATCGCGCTCGTTATCAAAGCGTAAACGCGTAAATTGAGATAACGTCCCGCCCCGCGCACAGTTAGCTTCGAAATTATGTTTCTTCATCTTCAATCGGGGCAAAATATATCCCGCTGGATATGCTGTTGTGAAACGATCCACTTTCCAAGAATAATCAAAATAACTTTCAAACTAATCAATATTAAAAAATTATTACCAAAATATAAGAAGAAATTTACCTATTAAATCTATAAATTACAATATTAAGTGATCTTCTTGATTCTCTTCGAGATTCTTTTATATTTTATATTTTAGCTGAAAAATTCGCTTTATTATTACAAATATATTAGAATTAAAAACTTTAATGGGAATTTATTATAATAATTTTTTAAACGTGTTCTAATAAATTAAAAGATCAGCAGAACTCATCTTAAGGAGATGTCACACTATAAAAAAAGCGAGATTTAGCAATACAGTTAAGACTTAAAAGTATATTCATATTTGATGTAGATAAAAAATAATCGTCATTATAAAAAATTTCCTTTTGCTTTAAAATATGTTACTTAAAAAGGTAGAAAATTATAAAACACTGAAGACCGAGTGTAGAGTATATTAAGATTCTAAAAAGATATATGTTAATAAAAGATTAAAATTAAGTTAGACCGAATGAATGCTTATCAATGTTTAAAAAGAACACAGGAAGATAAGATGAGCGCCGATCAACGTCGGGAACGACGAAAACTCCGAAAGGGTGGAAGGAAGAGGCGCGCGCGAGCAAGAGGATGCTGCGGAGATTTGGTACGGTTCCAGCAGTTCCAGCGACGACCGCGTTCGCTATATATTCCGTTTTATCGTTTCCCTCGCGAGGAGAGCAGAAGAGGGAGAGAGAGAAAGAGAGATACGGTCAACCCCGGCGATAACCCCGGCGTCTGACCTTATTATATCTCCGCGGCGCGGCGGAGAGCTCCTCCTCGACGATATAATTTTAACGGCGGCGCCCCTCGCTCTCGCCCATTTCTCTCGCCGTGCCACCGAAAGAGCAAGAGAGCGGAGACTCTCTTGCACGAGAGATAATGGATTTCCTGGAAGCCGCGCGGTAGAGCCGCCCGCCGCCGCGCCGACCGGTGCATCCGACGGGACAATCGAGGCCGCGAGTCAATGAATTTTCCCCATGAATGAAACCGCGCCGGGGCCGACTGCGCCCTATCGCGCGCCTCCCGCGACTAGATCGCGCTTTTCTCGCGTTTTTCTCGCGCGATATGTCCGCGACCTCCGGCACTCGCTCGCCAGACGAGAGATTCGA